AATTAAGGCAATAAACAAAATTAACAAAAGCAGAAATTTAAGGAACTTGCTGTCAAGACTGAAAAATGTTTTACAGCAAGTATCTAGAAAAAGTTACACTTATAAAACACGCTTAACGAGCAATTATACTGGTCATGACTTAGCCAAGAAACCCGAACAACCTGTCCTCTGAGGTAAAATTGACAAGAAACTATCATTTGTGACGTAAAGTAAGATCTAAATAAATCCAAGGGAGAAGTTAAAGGAATCCATTCATTAACCTATGGAGGAATTATCTAATTCTCCTGTTTAGGAAGTCCTCAATAGAAGACCAAGCCATATATATGGCTAAAAACTACACACTCACTGCATATCTAATCATCCACTTTTAACCCCTTATGGATGGGTACATAATAGGGGAAATGAGGTAATGATGTATAATGTGTATGCACATCATGACTTGCTCTAGTGATCGAGTAGGTGAACTGCTGTCATTACACCATAAGAAAGGCTAGACTGTCGCATAATGATTACGTCACAGAAAGCTCTGGCCTCGTCATGATAAAGTTAACAAGCTTGCAGTCGTATGGTACAAATTGAATTTGAATAGCTTTTAACACTCAGTTCAATCAATATTCAAGCACTAATTTCAAAATTTCTGGTTACCAACATGGATCTTCCACTAATGTTTGGTGGCCTTAAATACTGTATTTACTGTTTCTGAGCACTCTTAATCACTCAAAATGCATTTCTACCTAATTTTTAAATACTATTGAAATTTAGCCTGTCATGGCTGTAGTGAATACAAAAATGCCTGAATGTTAAGGAGGACACACCTACTGTTAATTATTATAGCCTCGGAAATTGTGTCGATTTCTGTAAGAATCAATAAGCAAGCGGAGGAGAAATTCCTAAAATAGTCCCTACATATGGGTTAATTTGGCTATTGGGTGAGTTGTTGACAGTAATGAATTAAAAAGAAAAAAAAAGAACCAGGTAAAGATGTTGTGGACATAGGAGCTGGAAGAAACTGAAGAGGAGTTGGACAGCAGTGAGGAAGACAGTGGAGGGATGAATGTAGCATTATCCTTGACCTCAATTCTACCTCTCATTTTTTTGTTTTTTATTATTATCATTATCCATGAAGCAAGGCAATGTGCAGTGGAATGGCTATGCACATGTAGCATTATCCTTGACCTCAATTCTACCTCTCATTTTTTTTTATTATTATTTTATTATCATTTATATTATTATTATTATTATCATTATCATCATCATTCTCTGACATTTGTATTAGATGTTCATGAGCAAGGTAGGCCATGTTATGCTTTTATGGCAACATTCTCTATACGCTCAATATACAATCTATTTCAGATTTTTTTCATTACTTTTATGAACAGATAACCATATATTGCACCAAAATATGTAGCGGTGCAAATCTGTTTTCTTTTTTTTAAGTCATAAAAATTGTGGGTTTAAAACATTATCATTATCTTTGAAAAACATTTTTAAAAACCAAATTGTTTTTTTATTTCTATTTAAAATAAACTAATCTCGGTAATTCACACTCCCTTCCCTTATTTCTTCTGCTACTGACCAATGGAGCCCAGGCTGGACTGCCATGCTATGATACTGGTATTACCATTTTACTAAATGTATTCCTGATCCTATCCCTTTGCTATGAGATTATTTGATACTGCATAGGTTGTCTGCCCATCTCCTTGCTGTCATTTTCAATGGTAAGCATAAATTGAATGTTTGGGTCAACTTCTACTAGGCATATCTCTTCACTGCAGCCCATAAGTGATGCGGAACTTTGGAGTGAAAATCAAATTCTCTTTTGCAGTGTGGTCAAAATTAGCAATGGCATCACTGCAAGACATTCACCTGGTGCAAGGTGCAAGCATGCACAGATTAGTCTATGGCATCATTATATGCCATGCACAGTGAAAGAACAACCTACCACAGATCTAGTATCAAAGAGAAATCTATAATATATCCTTTCTCTTGGTTCCTTAAAAGCACACAAGTACCTCCTTTCTCTGAATGAGAGAAATATAAGTTCAAGGTATTGTGCATTAGTTTATGTCAGCTGAATAATTACAAGTCTGCAGCCTCACTGTTGCATGACTGGAAATTTTCTCAATGAAAATTCATTCATGACAACAGAAAATTCATCAACAATGATGACTGCAACTCTATCAGTTATAACCAGGATTTCAATCTCAGCAACAAAACAATTCAAGTCTCAACAACCATAACATCCAGCTGCAATGCGACTTTAATTGAATTACATTCTTCATTATCATGATAGAGGAGTTTATTTCAGGACTGCTTGCAAAGTCAACACTACATCCCCTACCACTTATCCAACTTAGATGAAAACTCAAAATACACAACTATCAACACAAGGATACACTTATTCAACTTTCCCCCAAAAAACATTAGCTCAACATCCACATCAAGTGTACATATCTTAAACATTTCTTCAATATTTTGTACACTGCACCACATTAAGCAA